TTGCAGCTCCCTTAAACTCTCTTCATTATTTTTAAATCTTCTTTTTATTTTGTTGTTGTGTTTAGGAATTTTTTTCTACCTTGTCCTCCAGCTCACTGATTTGAGCCTCTCATTCATCTAGCCTGCTTTTAATATCTTCTACTGTGTTCTTCATTTCAGATATTGTACTTTTCATTTCTTTCTGTCTCTTATTAATAGTTTCTATGTCCCTTTGCATGTTAATGTAGTTCTCAGTAAGTTCCTTGTAGCTTCCTTGTAGTTCTTTGTAGTTCTCATTGAGCTCATTGAGCACCCTTATAACTGTTATTTTGAATTCAATATCTGATAGTTTGCTCTCCTCAATTTCCTTTAACACTCTTTATGGGGTTTCTTCCTTTCCTTTCAATTAAGGGTTGTTTCTTTGTCTCCCCATTTTAGGTGACTCTTGTTTGTTTATGCTTTTTAGATTGATCAGTTTTGACTCCCTGTCTTTTTGGTATGATCATCTGTGGTAGGAGACCTGTGGGATTCAGTGGTGCAGTCTCCTGAAGTTGATGCTGTTGGGATGCCCTTTATGCTGTTTAGGTTGGCTGTCTGGTTGTAATTGGCTTTTGGTTGTTGTTGGGTCATTCTTTGGTGGCTACTTCCCTCCAGCTGGCTGACTGAGAGTCACTCTACCCACCACATCTTGTTTGTTGTTGTGCAGGTGCTGCCAGAACAAAACCACAAAGCTCAGGAAGCAAACCCACACCCACAATATTAACCCCCCACCCACAATCTCACTATCAACAGCAAATGAGCCAACATTAATAAAAGTATAAGGAGATTAAGACTATTATAAGAAAATAAAAATGAATATGAGATAGCTAACAGAAAGAAAAATGATTTTGAGGGGATAGCGGGAGGAACAATAATAAGAGTAAGGAATAAGGACAAGGCAAATAGAGAAAGAAAGAAAAAAATACATCATAAATAATAAAGGAAGGGAAAATGGCAGAATGGAGTAAGAGAAGGGAAGTGTATAGTATTAGGTTTAAACAGAATTTAAATAAATAAATAAATAAATAAATAAATAAATAAATAGTAAGAGAGAAGGAAAAAAAGAAAAAATTAGGAACCAAATTAGAGAAAAATTTCCACCACAGCACTGTCAACAACAATGAGCAAAGTTTAATATTAGTGGGAGGGGAATACGATGGAAAAAGGAAAGAAGAGCTTAAGGGACATCTAAAGGAAAGAGAAGTGATTTTGATATGGTCAAGGGAGAAAGAATACTAAGAGTGAGTATCAAAAACCAGGTTGACAAGGAAAATTTAAAGTGAAAAAAAGAAAGGACAGGAGGAAGGCAAAATGGAGTAGGACAGGGGAACAGTAAAATTAGAGATTTGAAATACAAAAACAGTGAAGATCTAGAAAAAATTGGAGAAATGAAACAACAACCACCATATTCACAACGGATGAGCAAAGACTGATAAAGATGGAGAGAGAATAAGGGTATTTTGAGAATGGAAGAAGGAATGTGAGATGACTAATGACAAGAAAAATGGTTTTGAGAGACCGGAAGGGGAAGAAATAGTAAGAGTGTGGAATGTAAACAAGTCATGGCAAGAGATCAAATAAAATTTAAAATGAAAATAAGAAGAGGAAAGAAGGTAAAATAAAGTAAGAGCAGGGAGGAGCAAAATATGAGATTTAAAATAAATTATAATATAAAAACTAGTGACTTAATATGCAGAAATTTGAAGGACAAGAAATGAATGTTAAAAAGATGTACAGGAGAGAAAATAATGAAAATCATAAAGAAGTTAGTGGTGTAATTCATTTCACTGTCCACTCTTTCTGGAACTGCCCTGGTGATGTCAGATAGTGTCCCAGTCAGCCACTAGGCAGCCTGTTGGAAACTACCAGTGATTGACAGTTAGTGAATCCTTCCATTGTTAATCTAGTCACTCTGTAATCAGCAACCAGGCTTAAGCTCCACAGTGTGGGGTAGAGTAACTCCTGGGGGAAAAGCTATTGCTTCCCCTCAGGCTGATGCCACTTGGAAGGGAGTGCTCTTTGCCTGATCAAATTGGCTCCTGCAGTATGGGGGATGACTCAGCACAGGGATCCTGGTGGCTGTTCCCTCAGTTCTCTCCCCAAAGCCTCCATCCTCAGACTCTCCTCCACCGTCTCTAGTCCACTCTGCCTACCCTTTGCTGGAGCCCAGAGTAAGTGGCTGCAAATGAAATTACATGCATTGGCTCCTTAAGAGGCTCTATGTGACTCCAGCCCTCTCTTTCTGGCAAACAGAAACCCTGCTGCTTTTCCCAGCTGGATGTATCTGGAGTCCTTTCCTGGCTCTAGTGCTATAGGTCAGGGAGCCCATCTTGGGATTTAGACTACACACTTCTCAGGGGAAACCCCCGGCCATTGAATTTCCCTCCAGCACTTCAACTGCCACCTGTGGGAGCCCAGCCAGCTCTCAGGTGTCTCCTCCACTCTCTGTACCAGTCATGTGGTGAAGCCTGTGGTTACAAGGCTCATCTTCAGCTAATGTTCAGTTGGTTATTCAGGATGATTTCTCTACAATTTAGTTGTAATTCCAGATTGGTCCTGGGAGGAGATTAGTGTAGTTTCCACTTACTCCTCCACCATCGTGGATCCTTTCATCCTTATTTACCTTTCTTACCTTGAAAGGTGAAAAATCAGCATGACATTGCTATTCTAATCAGTGTTTTCTTGATAACCAATGAAACGCTTTATCAGTAATCAATATATTTATCAGTAATAACATTTATTATCTATTTCATTTCTTCTGTTGTGAACAGTCTATGCCTTTCTGTAGTTGATTTCTGTAAGTGCTTTAATAATAAGATGTTAACCTCTATTTGATATTTTCATTACAAATAGTATACTCCAATTTATATTTTAGTATGGTTTATAGCATTTTAGATATACAGAGATTTTATTTTTCATTTTACTTAAATTTTATTGATTATTCTATTACAATTACAGTTGTAATTGTACTTGCACAATTACTAGTATAAATACAGCTCTCTCAGCTAATGTTCAGCTGAGCATTTAGCTGAATGTTAAATTTCCCCCTTTCTCTTGCTTTTAAGAATCTCTTTTTCTTTTTAACCTTTGGCCTTTTATTAATGATGTGCCTTGGAGTGGGCCTGTTTGTTTCCATCATAATTGGGATTTTCTGTGCTTCCTGGACTTGTGTGTCTACTTCCTTCACCAAATTAGGAAAGTTTTCTTTCACTATTTTTTCAGATGGATTTGCAATGTCCTTCTCTTTCACTTCTCCTTTCAACATTCCATGAGGTGAATGTTTGACCTCTTAAAGTCGTCCCAGAGGCTGTTATACTATCCTTTTTTTCATTCTTTTTTCTTCTTGTTTTTCTGATTAGTTGTTTTTTGCTTCCTTATGTTCCAAATCACTGATTTGATTCTTAGCTTCATCCATTCTACTGTTGTTTCCCTGTAAATTGTTTTTTATTTCAGCCCTGGCTGGTGTAGCTCAGTGGATTGAGTGTGGGCTGTGAACCAAAGCATCGCAGGTTTGATTCCCAGTCAGGGCACATGCCTGGGTTGCAGGCCACTGCCCCCAGCAACCTCACATTGATGTTTCTCTCTCTCTCTCTTGCTCCCTCCCTTCCCCCTCTAAAAATAAATAAATAAAATCTTAAAAAAGATCTTTAAAAATTGTTTTTTATCTCAGTTAGCATAGCCTTCATTTCTGACTGGGTGTTTTTTATGCTGCTGAGGTCCTCACTAAGTTCCTTGAGCATCCTTATAAACAGTGTTTTGAATTCTCCATCTGATAGATTGCTTATCTCCATTTTGTTTAACTCTTTTTTCTGGAGTTTTGATCTGTTCTTTCATTTGGGCCATGTTTCTTTGTCTTCTCATTTTGGCAGCCTCCCTGTGTTTGTTTTTATGTGTTAGGTAGAACTTCTTGGATTCTGTGTCTTGGACTCTGTGAGCCAGTATGGCCCAAGGTAGTAGGTGTCCTGTACAATTCCATGGCACAGCCTCCCCTATTACCCAAGCTGGGTACTTAAGGTGCACCCTTTGTGTGGTCTGAGTACACCCTTCTCTTGTAGTTGAGCCTTGGTTGCTTTTGGTAGATCAGTGGGAGGGATTTACCCAAGCCAGTCAGCTGCAAGGCCTGGCTGTGACCACTGACCTCCAGTCTCCGTCCTCCATGGAGAATCAGCTGTGTAGGGGCAGGGTAGTGGTGCTCTGACATGGTCTATAGCTGTCTACTAGGTGTGTTGGCCCTGGGGTTTCCCAGGTGGTGCAGACCAAGCTCATCCCCTACCTGTGTTTTACCTGGGGCACCCTACCTGAGCTATAAAGCAACCTGAGATGGCTGCTACTTGTGCTGAGGTTGTAGATTCTCAGGTGAAAATAAGCTGCTACTCTAATCTGGTTGCCACTAGGGCTCACTGAAGCCAGCTGTTGTTTGTTTAACAGGATTTAGGAGCCCAAACCAGCCATTCTTACATAAAAGCAGCTTGGGTGGACCTGTAAGTTGGGTGGGATAGAGCTTCTGTGGAACTTCAGGATAGGTCACAGTGTTAGCTAGGTTGACGGAGTCTTAGATATGGTACCAGCCTCCTGGCTCTGTGTGGGAAGGGCTCAGCAAAGGGACAGTGGCCTCTGCTCACCCCAATGCCAGACACTCAGTCTCACCCTCTATATCACTGGTGCCCTTCAAGCTGCCACCATGGTGCTGGAGCTCAGAGGGTGCAAATATGAGTAGGTGAGTCCGTGTATGGGTTCCCCAAGAGGAACTGCTTAGGGCCTCCACTGACTCAATGTCCGCTGTTTTCACAGCCATAAGTAGTTGGAACTTATCTTCTTGGTACTGGAATCCTGGGCTTGGAGGCCTTGTGTGGGTCTGAGACTCCTCGCTTCCAAGATATCCCTCCCGAATTTTTATCCACATGGGTTTGGGACCCACCTATTCTGCATCTGCAGCCCCTCCTACCATTCTGGATGGATGTGTTTTCTTTAATTATGTAGTTGTCAGGCTTTTTTTTTTCTTCACAGTCCCTCATTACCACAAATTATGCAGTCAAGTGTCCCACCTTTGGAGAAATTGCAGGAGTCAGCACATCCGGAGTACAAAGGATAAGCCTCCCCCTGGGAAAGCCACCTTTGTGATCATGGTATCTCTCCTGCAAGGTAAGTATTCAGACTTCTATTCAACTTAATTTCTGACATTTTTGAGTGATGAATATTCTATACTTTATTTAGTTGTAATTTTGATATGGTTGTGCAAAGAAGTGAGCCATGTATGCCTATGTTGCCATCTTGACTGGAAGCCTCTATATAGGAATTTTAAGTTTATTTGCTTATACAGGTTTCAGCACAAATGACGCCCCTTTTGAATTACAAAATCATAAACATGTAATTCTGTAACTTAACAATATCACACTCAAGCATACCATATAACACTTTAGGTGATATGTTCAAATTAAAACTATAAATTATTACACCCATGTTATTGCCCTACCAACCACATTAAAGCAAGCATTATTTCTGCCAGACCCTGTATTTATCCTTTAGTGTTTTCTTCTGTTGTTTTTAAACCCAGAGACCTTAAGGATAAAAATCTGTCTTCTTAATTTTTGATGGTTCACTATTTTTATAATGTAGTGTTATTTTATTTTCCAAGTAATACTGATTAAAAATATTTACACACCTACTTTTAAGTCCACAGTTTAGCACTCTTATTTGTATGGCTTTAAAAGTTATAACACAAGACCTTTACATTAAGGTTGGGGGAAAGATTCACTCAAAACAAAGCCTGATATCTTCTATACATGTTTTTCTCTGTACTTTATTTTAAATACATTAATTTTTAAATGATGCTCATCCATTTTTTACCTGGTGGTAAAACACTAGTGCACTTTTTCAACCAAAATAAAGTTTACCACAGATAGAAATGAATTTTTCCCAGTTGAAAATGGCCCTCTGGCTGCCATTAAATGAAATTTTCATCCTAACTTAAGTGAAAAAGAAATGGTAGTTGCCATTATAAGCAAAAATATAAATACTATACAGCATCATCTACATCGCTTCTTGTAACACACACTTTGAAAGAACCAGAGATGCCTTATAGAAGTTTAGTTGGTTTTGAAAAGGAACATGAGTATGGATTGTTTTTACATTCTGGAAATTCTGCTGCTGCCACCACTCTGTTTCTGTTGCAGAGCTGACATCTGTGACTATCAGAGTAGACAAGAATGTTGTTCAAACTGAGGAAAGCTAGAAGCCAACATTTAACTGCACAGTAGCAATGTACTTTTCTTCATGTGGTCCATATTCTTGATATTCAGTTTTCTAACATGCATTAGAATACCAGTACTTATATTCTAATGATTTTATGTTTGGTTTTACAATGTGTAAAAACTGAGAAAGAACACAACCTGAGAAAAAGAAGGGGGAACTCTTGGCACAATGAAAATAGATATATTAGTACCTAACTGTATAAGAATATAATCCATTTAAGTTTCCAGAAATATACTTCTCAAAACTTCCCATTCACTTACAGGAAACATCCCTCCTCTGTGGTATTAGCCAGGAGGAGAAATCAGGTTGTTTCAATTGGAACAGTTCAGCACAACAGAAAAGAATTTAACTTTGGTCCACTTGTCTGTTAGCTCAGGGACAATCACACTGCCCAATATCAGTTCAAAAACCCAACACATATGTTTAAAAATATATTCACTTGTTCATTCTAAAACTGGCAAAGGTGTTCTGTTCTCATTTCCTACACTTCCAGCTTGAGAACCCATCACTGGCCTGGTCTTTAAACCCATGGCGTCTTTGTGAACTTCTCCAGCTGCCTCAGCAGTGAGGTCTTGGCTTAGTTCCCTCTGTTCTGGGTTCATGACGTCAGGGGTCACTTGATCCAAGTCTGCTTCTAGAAGCTCGGTGTGGACTTCCAGGGGCACCTGGTTTACCCATTCAATATGCAGCTCCACCATGTGGACTTCAGTGCCTTCTTCAGTCTGAATTCAACCCACTTCTAGGTAACTCACTTGGATCTGCTCTGGAAGCTCATTCTTGTGTGTACCATGTACTTGGCTGTCCTGGAGCAGATCTGGGATGGACCTGTTCCACAGTCGCTTGTGCTGAGTCTACCCAAACCTGAAGCAGTGGTAACACATGAACCTTACCTATTTGTTCTATAATACAGGATTAGTTTGCACACAGGTTTCTACTGAAAGAACTTCTTCAGTTACCAGATGCTCAGAAATATTATGAGATTCACTGATATGCCTCCTTAATTAATTTTCTTGCAGAAACACATAAAGTCACATAAATACAAGTCACATAAAGTACAATGGTTGGGTTTATGTCCAGTGTGTATTACCAAGTGATCTTTGAATTGGTCCTGCTGTTAAATACACTGTTACAGATTTGGCATTCGTAAAGCTTCTTTCTTCCCTTTTTTGCTCCCGTTCCAGTTTGGCACACAGTCAGGTGACATTTGAGAGTGCTATTTCTAGTAAATCATTCATGACAATTTGCACATTCGAAAAGTTTTTCACCTGTATGTTTTCAAAGATGCTCTTTAAAATATCCAAAGTGGTTACACTGTTTCTCACAGTACTGATATGTCTGAAATGTTTTCCTAGTTCTTTGCTTCTTACTGACCTCACCTTCCTCAAGGTAGTAACAATTGAGGTGCTGTTTCCATGCACTCTCCTGAAGATACCTTTCATTGCATATTTCATACTTGAAACTCTCAGTGGAGTGTGATTTCATGTGTTCTTTAAAATGGTAAAACAATGTAAATGAATGGTTACATTTCTCACAATGTTGGCACATTTCTCCACATGTGCCACCTGAAGTTCCACAATTTCAATCAATACCTTCTACCTTTTTTGCTTGTGGGGTAGGATGCACAGCTGTCTTCTTTCATCTGCCCTTTCCTGTCACCTTGATGGTACTTGCTGGTAACATCTGCCAACAGGGCCAGAGCTGAATTATCGGAAGAAGACACACTCTGAAGTACTGTACTTCACAGTATGCTTGGCAGAAGCCACATGCTCCTCTAGTGTCTCCACACCTTCCTTTTCCACTTTGATGGTGCCTTCCATGATCTCTACCTCAATTTCAATGGTTCCGATTCTATAGGTGGCAATGACTCAGTGTTGATATTTAAAGTTTCTGCAATCCTTTTTTTGGCCTCACTTTTTCCTGTGGTAGTTTCCTCCAGTGGAGCAGAGTTTTCTTTGTTCCTGACTTCAAGAGCTTTGATAGCTTCTAGCATTTGCTGAAACTCTGCTGCTTTCCACACATCACTGGCTGCTTCTTCTCCTTGTATCATTAATTTTGCTGTATATGTGAACTCTCTTAAATGACTAAAGGCCATTTTACTAAACCTTTTATCTCTACCAAAGGTTCCTGAGTAAACTCCTGAAAGAATTTGTAGAAGAACTTATTGCAAGCAGCCTAAACAGCCTTGTGGGCCTTAAAATGGTGATTGTCGACAATCAGGGTGATGTCAGTAAATTGGTCTTGTTCTTGCTGTTCATTCAATTGGTCCACGATCACTTTGTGATGTTCCAGGAACTCCTGAAGACAATCCATCGTCTCTTCAACTTCCATGACTGGTGGGTTGCTCTAGCTCAGGATACTCCCTTGCTCCTCTACCTCCCTCAAAGCATCTCCTGCCCTGCTCTGTACACCCCTTCCAGGGACAGAATTCACCCAAACCTTTCTCTCCCCCTAAACAGTGCCTTGCCCTCCATGTCTACATGAGTACTGGTGCTCCTTCTGCTCAGGTCCAGTGGGTGCACATGTACTCACTCTGAGACCTGCTGGCCACTGATTGTTTGATATTTTAAAATTTAATTATTCAATCCTAATCTACTGGTATGTAATTTTCTATGTGCTCTTGTTACAGGGTGCAGCCAAGAGGGGGGACCCCAAATGGGCATTTAAAATGGGGTCCAGAACTCAAGGTGTCCAGGAGATTTTAAGATGTCTCCACCCCCCTACCCAGGGTGTGGGTTGGGGGAAGGGACAAATGGAGCAAGGCCATTGAGAGCTGTTTTGCATAGCAACAGCCTTGCAGCTACCCTCTGGTGTGGTCATTTAACATATCTATAACCTTTGGCTGGTCGCTTAGATATGTTAAATAGCTGTGATCATCTCTGAGCCAGGGGAATGGAAGTAACTTCCCCACCAACACGTGACTGGGGGCAGATCCCCCAAGCTACAGCGCCTGCGTGGGAGCTCGGAGAAGACTGGCTCCAGGACATGGGGCCACACCTGCCCAGACTCAAGATGGCAGCCCAGTAAAGCTGGAAGGATATGAGTTCTGGCATGTGAAGCTGAGTGTGGGAGGAGTCGGAAATGAGGCTGCAGAGGAAGTTTGGCCGCGGGGATTTAAAACCCAGACTTGGCGGTCATTGAGAGAGAACCACGCGGCTTTGACGGAGTGGAGACTCCTGCATCCCAGAGAGAACCGTGCTCCTTTAGGAGAGAGAAACACGCGGCTTTGGCAGAGTGGGGACTCTCCCTTCCCACAGCCATAGGAGAGAGAACCACGCGGCTTTGGCAGAGTGGGGACTCTCCCCTTCCCGCAGCCCTGAGAAGGAGAACCACGTGGCTTTGGACAGAGTGAGGACTCTCCCTTCCCGCAGCCATAGGAGAGAGAACCACGCGGCTTTGGCAGAGTGGGGACTCTCCCCTTCCTGCAGCCCTGAGAGGGAGAACCATGAGGCCTAGACAGAGTGGAGACCCCCACAGCTTTAGAAGGGGAACCACCACCTGGTTTTAGCAGAGATCCTGGCGACTCAGCCGAGGGTGCCGAGAACCCAGGGAGGTCTCCCAGTTGAGAAGGAGGGCTAACTAAGAACCAGAGGACTGTCTGAGCCATGGACTTCATTTTCCTTCCCTGAGATACGGTACTCTGGACTGGGCAAAGGGGGAAGGAAGGAAGGACTGTGTCTGTTTGTGGGTGTTTTGGGGGACATTGGGATTTTTGATAAAGACATTAGGTCACTACTTTAAGATTGTATAGCATTAAATAAACATTTCCTTTCCTTTTCACGAATCTCTGGCACTGAGAGACATCTTTCCTCGGGCGGCGTCCATGACGGACCTGGGGGCCTTTTAAATAATAGTATATCGTCCCAGACCCCCCTTGTTGTGTTCTGTAACACTCTATTGT